TGGGAATCTAACTGTTTCCTCAACTCTTCCAGGCATGGGGCCAGCTGGAAAAAGCGGAGCACGAGCGGGAAGCCGCCCTGCGGGCTGAGCTGATCCGGCAGGAGAAGCTGGAACTGCTGGCCCAGAGGTTTGACCACAAGGTGGTTATGAGAGAGAGCTGGCTGAACGAGAACCAGCGCCTGGTGTCCCAGGTACAGGAGTGCGGCTTGGCTTGGGGGGTGGGGAGCAGGACTACCATTCCTGGGACTAGCAACGAGCCTGACTGCAGATACTGAGGGGGTGAGGCTGTCTCCAAGCCACGAGGGAAGGCAGAATTACTGTCTTCAGAAATAGAAGCACTGTTTCACCGTTTATGTGACAAACAAGGTTGTATTTGGTGTCCAGGGTAGCTCATAAGGATAGAATTCATTTCCCAAGTAACAGAATATGACAAACTTTATTCTCAGTCTCCAAGACAATGGAAAGAGGGTTGTCTGTCTCTTGGGTAACCCATATAGGGTTAGAGATGTAACTCGGGGGGCTGAGACTGGTCTCCAGGGTAACAGAGAAAGTGAGTTGGTCTCCAGGGTAACAGGGAAGATGGAATTGGTCTCCAGGGTAACAGCAGAGGGTGAGCCTGATTTCCAGTTACTGGTGAGGGTAGAACTGGTCTCCAGGGTAACTGAGGAGTGGACCTAATATCCAGAGTGATGGATGGGAGAGTGTTGGGCACATAGGCCCCGAACAAAGTGCAAAGAGGTAGAGGTTGAAGAGGGTCAAGGTGACAAGCGCATGGCTAGGGCACCATGGTGAGCATCGGTGGCCTGTGCTACCCAGGACAACTTTGGGTATGAGCTGCCAGCGGTGGAGGCAGCCATGAAGAAGCATGAAGCCATCGAGGCGGACACCGCAGCCTACGAGGAGCGGGTACAGGGTGTGGCAGAACTGGCACAGGCTTTGGCAGCCGAAGGCTACTACGATGCCCGGCGGGTGGCCGCTCAGCGCGACAGTGTCCTGCGCCAGTGGGCCTTGCTGACCGGGCTAGTAGGTGCCCGGCGAAGCCGGCTCGAGCAGAACCTGGCCCTGCAGAAAGTCTTCCAGGAGATGGTCTACATGGTGGACTGGATGGAGGAGATGCAGGTGGGGACCAGAGCCGGGCCCGGCTAGGGGTGGGGTCCCGGGAGGATTGGGAGGCACATAGACCCCGAACAAAGTGACAAAGAGGTAGAGGTTGAAGAAGGAGGAGAGATAAGGAGGAAGCGAGGGAGACCGAGAGAATGAGCAGGCAAGAGAGTGAGAGAGAGACACAGGAACAGAGGGGAGAGGCAGGAAAAGAAAGGCAAGCCCAGCTGCTCAGAGAGCTAAGGTAGGAGGTTCACAAGTTTAAGCCCAGCCTGAGCAAGCCAGTGAGACCCTGTCTCAGAGTAAAAATGAGCCGGGCGTGGTGGCTTATGCCTGTATTCCCAGCACTCGGGAGGCTGAGGCGGGAGGATCCTTGCGAGTTTGAGACCATTCTGGGCTACAAAGTGAGCTCAAGGCCAGCCTGAACTGCATAGCAAGATCCTGTCTCAAAAAGACAAAAAAAAAAAAAAAGTAAAAATGAAGGGATATAGCTAGGTAGTAGAGGGATTACCTAGAAAGCATGAGACCCTGGCTTCAATCCCCTGAGATGGGGAGAGAGGGGAATCAGAGGGTTGGGGAGGGAGCGAATGGCCCTGGAGCAATGCGAGCTGTGCTTAGCGCTGCCCATTCTCCACCCCAACCCTGCAGGCTCAGCTACTGTCCAGGGAGTGCGGGCAGCACCTGGTGGAGGTGGACGACCTATTGCAGAAACACGGGCTGCTGGAGGCGGACATTTCAGCCCAGAGCGAGCGCGTAGAAGCTCTCAACGCTGCAGCCCTGCGTTTCTCCCAGCTGCAGGGTGAGTTGTACAAAAGTATGGAGTAGGGTCTGTGGGGACTGGTGCTAATAGGGCAAGAATGACTCCTCAGACAGCAGGAAGGTATGACCTCCCTGTCTTTGGAGGCGTCTAAGCCGAGGGCTGGATCACAGTGCACTCAGGAATCACGGGGAGAATTAGTGACCACTCAACTTTTTCCTGCTTTGAGATGCTACAGTAATTAGGTCCTGTTGATGAACATTTATGTACTAAGGCCTTCGAAATTCAATCTCAGTGAATATTATTTTTAAAACTATATGGGGTTGGAGATGTAGTACAGTGGTAGAATATTTGCCAAGGACATGCAAGTTTGATCCCCAGCGCTGGAATAAAAGAAAACCCACAGACCAGGTGTGGTGGGGCTTGCCTATGATCCCAGCACTCAGGAGCTAACGCAGGAGGATTGCCAAGAGTTTGAGGGCAGCCTGGGCTACAAAATGAGCTCAAGGCCAGCCTGAACTGCATAGCAGAGACCTTGTCTCAAAAACACAAAAAGCAAAACAAACAAAAAAACCCAAACCAAACCAAACAAAAAACACAAAAGAAAACTCACGAAACTGTGTAAGGTTATGGGTAGTCAGGGGTCTTCAATGAAAAATGACAGAAACTTAACTCAGTTGGCCTAGAAAATAAAGGGGAATCAATTGGTTTATATAATTAAAATGTCCAGGGAGAGACAGTTTGACTTCAGGCATAATCCCTCTATTTTTATTTATTTTTTGTACTGGTTCTGGAAATTGAAAGCAAGAGTTTTGCCCTGAGTTACATCCCCAGACCTTTTAAAAAAATTTTTTTATATATGTTTTTATGTATTTGAGACTGTGTCTAAGTCCCTAAGTTGCCCAGGTTGGTTTTGAACTTGTGATCCTCCTGTCTCAGCTTCCCAGAGTGCTGGGATTATAGGCTCAGTGCTACCTCTAAAGTTCCTTCTGTCTCTTAAGGGTACCATTGTTAGACATTACCTCACAGCTGCCTAACAGACCCAAAAAGAAACAGATCTCTTTCTCCCAATAGTTCTGATTAAAGTTCTAAGGAAAGCTTTCATTGGCCCACTGCAGTTTCCTTCTCCATTGCTTAGCCAATCATTGTGGCCCCAGAGCAGCAGTGATCTCATTGGCCACACCAGTGACTTCCCCACTGTGGCCAACAGTGAGGTCAGCTCTCTCCAAAGACAAGACTGAGACAGAGGAGTGGAAAGCCCTTACTGGAAGCAGAGCAAAACCAAGACTGGCTCTAAGAAGGCTCCCATTCGCCGAGGCCAGCGCTCTGTAGCTAAACACCACCAGAAACTCTCTGTGGTCACACACGCAATGGGAAACGCCAGGGGGACAGTAAGAGAGTGCAGCAAGGAGCTTGTTGGTAGGATTTGGGCTTATGCAAATGGCCTCTAGGATGATTCCATGTAATGTAGTGTGTTTGGGTGTGGATGGAATGCTGTCAGGATGTAGGGAGAATTAGATGATTGAACATCTTGATTTTAAGCTTTTCATTTTTGGGGTGCGCAGAGAATGGAACCCAGCTACAGCCCAGCTAGTTCATCATTTTCAGTAGGTAGTGGCATAACTGCCGCAGTCATGAGGCAGTGGTTATTTGTGTAGCTCTGCCAAGGGGACACGTGGGGGTTATTCTGGTTTTTGCTGTTGGTGTTTTGTCTTTTTGAGACGGGGTTTCACTATGTACTTCAGGCTGGCTTTGAATTCATTCGATAGCCCAGAATGGCCTCGAACCCACAGAGATCCTCCTGCCTCAGCCTCTCAAGTTCTGAGATCACAGGCATGGGTCACCATCCCTGGCCTACACATGGTCATTTTAAGGGCTTGCACAGCTGCCTTTATTTCGCCGATAGCCACACCTGATTGTGCGGTAGGCTGCGGTTGTCCCTTGGTCACAGAGTGGCCATGGCTAATGATGTTCTGCTGGCTTTCTGGTACTCATCAGCTGGCTGTAGTTCTGACAGCAATCAGGCTGACATTTGTATTTCTCACTGCCGAGGAACCTGAGGCCCAGGCCACAGAGCCTGTAGGGTGATAAGGGAGTTTCCCACCCCTTCGGGGCCACATCAGATTCTAGGGGCAGACCTCAGTTTCCCTGCAGCCCCAGTGAGGATGTCGACTTGGCTCAGACCTCTGTTACCCATATCACAGCTCCAGGGAGCCCATTGGGACCCCACCTTCACATCAGGGCATGTTTGTCCCTGGAGGCCACCTATCTTCTCCGTGAAAGAGCACAGCTCCTAGGGACAACCATAGCACTGAGAATGCAGCAAAGTGGCCAGTATTGGGTGTACATTACCTTGGAGACCAGAGGCATGGTGCCTGGGGAGTAGTCTGATGTGTGGATCCCAATCGGCTGCTTCTTAGCTAATCGTAGGTATGTTGCCATCCTTCTCTGGGCCTCCATTTACTTAAGTGTAAAATGGGGCTAATGAGGCTATTAGCTTCATATGATGGTTATGAGGCTTAAGTGACGTCATTTGGGACTAAGGACTGATTACATAGAAGCTTTGTTGTTACATTTATTCAGTGGAACACCTTGGCATTTGAGTCAATATCAGTGAATTTCCAGAACTGCATTCCCTCTAAGGTACTGTTGCTCATACCTTTTTGTTTTTACCCTAGGGAGAAACCCATTTACCTCATACACAGCCTTCACATGCACACAAGTGCACACACACACACACACACACAGATACAAAAGCTTTGGTTTGGTTTGGTTTGGTTTGGTTTGGTTTGGTTTGGTTTGGTTTGAGACAGGGTCTCACTAATGTAGCTCAAGCTGGCCTTGAACTCACTGTGTAGTCCAGGCTGGCCTCAAGCTCATGGTGATCCTCCTGCCTCAGCCTTCCAAGTGCTGGAACTACAAGCATGTGTTATCACACACACAAACACACACACCACCACCACCACCACCACCACCACCACCACAAAAGTTTTACAAAACAATACAGCACATCTCCTTACCTTGTGAGTTGCATTCTGATTTTGTTAATTCGTTCTGTTTCACTAAAGAGAAGTTGGTTGTGACCCACTAACTTCACAATTCTTTAGTCACAAACCAGAAGTTAAGTAAGAAGGTGAATTACCCAAGGGATGAAGGAAGTTCAGGTCACCACTGGACTTTCTAAGGCAGCAGAGGAAGAGAGGGGACCCAGAAACATGGCTTGTGAGCAAAGAAGTTTCATTTGTCCCAGTTTTTGCGGAAATGAAATCTGCAATCTCTTACACCTGAGGTGGTCAGAATCCATCCTTCACCAACCTGTCAGCCTATTCGCTAAGCAACAGCTCTGGACTACACACTCTCTCCTGGGCGGTGATGGGGATGCAGTGTGCCAAGCCCCTGACCCTGGCCGCAGGGAGCTTCTAGTCCGTGGAAGCTAAGGCATTCCAGAGTAGTCAGGCTGCTATGGGACAAGCAGAAACGTAAGGGGCCACAGGAGGTGCTTGCTCGAGCCGTGGGGTGCCAGGGAAGAATGCCTGCAGGAGGATACCATGACGCCTGATGAAGTCAAACCAAGTCCAGTGTAGGTAGCCCACACTCCCTTCTCTTGGGCACGTCACCAACACGAGATCCTCTCCCGGCCCAGGCTACCAGCCCTGCGACCCGCAGGTCATCTGCAACCGCGTGAACCACGTGCACGGCTGTCTGGCAGAGCTGCAGGAGCAGGCGGCTCGGCGGCGCGCGGAGCTGGAGGCCTCTCGGAGCCTGTGGGCCCTGCTGCAGGAGCTGGAGGAGGCTGAGAGCTGGGCACGCGACAAGGAGCGCCTCCTGGAGGCCGCGGGCGGCAGCGGCGCGGCGGGTGCGGCGGGCGGCGCGCACGACCTGTCCAGCACCGCTCGCCTGCTGGCGCAGCACAAGATTCTGCAGGGCGAGCTGGGCGGGCGGCGGGCGCTGCTGCAGCAGGCCCTGAGGCGCGGCGAGGAGTTGACTGCGGCTGGCGGCTCCGTGGGTGCGGGAGCCGAGACCATGCAGCTGGCGGGCTTGGCGGAGCGCGCGGCGAGTGCGCGGCGCCGCTGGCAGCGGCTGGAAGAGGCGGCGGCGCGGCGCGAGCGGCGTCTGCAGGAGGCGCGGGCGTTGCACCAGTTCGGCGCCGACCTCGACGCGCTCCTGGACTGGCTCCGCGACGCTTACCGCCTGGCAGCCGCCGGCGACTTCGGCCACGACGAAGCGTCCAGCCGGCGCCTGGCGCGGCAGCACCGCGCGCTCACAGGGGAGGTGGAGGCGCACCGGGGACCCGTGGGCGGCCTGCGGCGCCAGCTAGCAGCACTGGGGGGCGCCAGCGGCGCTGGGCCACTGGTGGTGACGCTGCAGGTGCGTGTCGTAGAGGCCGAACAGTTGTTTGCCGAGGTGACCGAGGTGGCCGCGCTGAGGCGCCAGTGGCTGCGGGACGCGCTCGCGGTGTACCGCATGTTTGGCGAGGTGCACGCGTGCGAGCTATGGATCGGCGAGAAGGAGCAATGGCTGCTCGCCATGCGGGTGCCTGATTCTCTTGATGACGTCGAGGTGGTACAACACCGGTGAGCACTGGCCTGGAGCGCTGTGGGTCCCCATCCTCACACAGTCAGCCTTGCACTTGCTGGTTCAGCAGTTCCCATGTTGGCTCAACTGGGACCAAGTGTTCCTATCTCAGCTTGATCCCTAGCCATCTTTGTATTAGTTCTGCAACTTACCCAAGCTCTCTGAGCCTCATCTTGCCTATCTGTGAAATGGAGTTGAAAATAGTCGCCACAAGCTTAGGGCAAACAGAAAGTGAGTGCAGCCCCAGCACAAATGTCAGTTGTGACCCTTGTCATTTTTGCATCCCTCCTCTGCTTGACATGTCTTCATATCCCACCCCTATGTCACACAGAAGTTGGTTTGTTGGCTGACTTGGTCATGACTCTTACATTAGGTGAACAACACTTGCTCACATTCTGCACCTCTGCCTCTGAGCATCTTATCTGCCCATGGATTTGCTGAGTTTCTGCTCCCTTCTAGGTTTTGTATTGGGCACAGTTGGAAACACAGGCCTGCTCCTTGTCCTCACTGCACAGTTACTAGGTTGTTTTAAACAAGGGAAGGCCATGCCCAGTTTTAAAAAGATCTCCAGCCTCTCAGGGTGGGGTGGAGCTGTTTGAGGAATGAGGGTGGTGGCTAGGAAACCAGAGAGGGTGCTGGGTGGGCAACTCAGGAGGGACAGACCTAGACCAGAGCAGGAGCCAAGTGGACAGGCCATGGGGGCAGATGGCTTGGGGCACTTGGCCAAAATCAGGCCCAGGTGTCAAGCCTGGAGGACAGTGGTGCTATTCTGAGCTGGGATCCAGAGGCACACCAGGCTTGTGTGATGTCAGGGCACTTAGTCACAGTGAGTGAGAGCCCCAAAGAGGAGTTTCTCACGTGCAGGAGAGAAGATGCAGAGGCTGTGGAGATGGGTATGAATGAAATCTCATGGGGCCCAGGCCAGAGCGCTGAGGAATCTAACATTTCAGCAGCCAGCTGCAGAGGAGGAGCCAGTAAAGGAGTCTGAGAAGTGAGGCTGGAGTGTAGAGCTAGGTCCTCCAAGGCCAGGCCTCTGAGCACCTCCTTCTCCCTTCTACAGCTTTGAGAGCCTGGACCAGGAGATGAACAGTCTGATGGGCCGTGTGCTGGACGTGAACCACACGGTGCAGGAGCTGGTTAAAGGCGGTCACCCCAGCTCGGATGAGGTGCGCTCCTGCCAAGATCACCTCAATAGCAGGTAGGCGAGACGGGGGGCTGGAAGTCCTTCCTGGTGTCTCACACCAGTTCTTCCCATCATCCCCTTCTACCATCACTCCACATCAGAAATGTGCAGTTTCAAACCTGGGAGATGTTAACGACCACTTGAGAAATCAGCAGTCTTGGCAAATGGGAACAGGGCCAGGGGTGGTGTCATAATAATAGGAAAACTCAGTGAGCTGTTGACTGATTTTCCAAAAAGGGTTCATTGAGTATCCACTGTCTGCCAGTTTTTCCAAGCACTTTATGTACCTAACTTAGCTCCCAATATCCCAGCTTTGGTGGTAAAGCTTCCAGAATTAGAGCTCTTTAAGAACAGTAGCAAATTGCTGGGCATGGTGGCACATGCCTGTAATCCCAGTACTCTGGGAGGCTGTAGCAGTAGAATTACAAATTTGAGCACAGCCTGAAGAATTTAGGGAGAACTTGTCTCAAAATAAAAAATTTAAAAAGGGCTGGTGGAAGAGAGTCACCCTAGCTTAGACAAGGTACACCAGGAGTGCAAAGGGCCTTGCCTGGGTTCAATCCCAAACACACACACAACACAACACACACACACACACACACACACACACACAAAGGCATTCTTTTGTATTTTGGTAGATCTCTAATATTGATTTAAAGGAAGGCAGCTGAACTCTAAGGCCTGTTTTTGCATTCATTCTCTGGCCTGTGGCCTCTGGTAAACTTCACTGAACACCAGGACACAAAGAAGGGGAAAGGCAGATAGCCTCCTAGCATGATGAAGGTAGCTTGACTTCACTTGTGTTACACACAGAGTGCTGCTCCGAGCAAATGTGCCAGTGTGGTTCTCTTTTACACAGACAGAAACTGAGACTCAATGAGATAAAGTGACTTTCCAAAATCTCACAGCCCCTAGGGGTGGCCAAGGACTGGATTCCACCCTGAGTGGGTGAGTCCTCATGCCAAGAGGAGTCCCTATCCTTCTTAAGTCACCCTCTTTCCTCCCGGTCAGGTGGAACTGCATTGTGGAGCTGGTAGAACAGCGCAAAGAGGAGATGACCGCAGTGCTGCTCGTGGAGAACCACGTGCTAGAGGTGGCTGAGGTGCGCGCCCAGGTGCGCGAGAAGCGTCGAGCAGTGGAGAGCGCGCCCCGCGCCGGCGGCGCCTTGCAGTGGCGTCTCAGCGGTTTAGAGGCCGCTTTGCAAGCGCTTGAGCCGCGCCAGGCCGCCCTTCTGGAGGAGGCAGAGCTCCTGGCTGCGCGCTTCCCTACGCAAGCGACGAGGCTGCAGCAGGGCGCCCAGGAGCTTGGTGCTGAGTGGGGCGCGCTGGCCAACGCGGCTCAGGCCTGCGGCGAGGCACTGGCGGCGGCTGGGCGCCTCCAGCGGTTCCTGCACGACTTGGACGCTTTCCTGGACTGGCTTGTGCGTGCCCAGGAGGCGGCGGGTGGCAGCCAGGGGCCCCTTCCCGGCAGCCTAGAAGAGGCAGACGCGCTGCTGGCGCGCCACGCTGCGCTCAAGGAGGAGGTGGACCAGCGCGAGGAGGACTATACGCGCATCGTGGCAGCCAGCGAGGCACTTCTGGCGGCAGACGGCGCCGAGCTGGGTCCAGGCCTGGCACTGGATGAGTGGCTGCCACATCTTGAACTTGGCTGGCACAAACTGCTCGGTTTGTGGGAGGCGCGTAGGGAGGCGCTGGTCCAGGCTCACGTCTACCAGCTCTTCTTGCGCGACCTATGCCAGGCGCTGGCCGTGCTGCACAACCAGGTGCGGGATAGAGGGGCGGGGGGGGGGGCAGTCTAAGGCCTGGGGGGATTGGAGGGACCAGAGATGCGCTGGTAACCACGAGTTTCTGTATTATCTAAGGTGGATGGGAGTTGTGGGGGGGAGACCCATTTTCTGGACAACTGAGTTTTGGAATCATCATGACCATGCGCTTGCAAAGCAGGCACTTATGCCGCTGAGCTAAATCCCCAGCCCCCAGTCTTCATCAATTAACCAGATTTTCCGGAGTGTCTCTTCTGTGCCAGGCACCATCTTGGTGTTGGGCATATCTTAGAAAACAAATCACAAAATCTTACCCTCAACTGGCCACCATTCAAGCACACACAGTAAACAAGCAAATGCATACATGTCAGGTTTGTGCTGTGAGAACTAGCAAAACAGGTTAAAGGGATATGATGGGGGTGGTGAAGAACCTGAAGAAAGGCAAGAGCCAGCCAGGGGGCCGCCTGGAAGACCAGACTGCCATGCAGAGATACCAGTATGAGCAAAGGTCCTGAGTGGTAGCCTGGAGAAGAGACTGGCTGCCGCTTCCAGGTCCCGGCGTCCAGTGGAGCTGACCTGCACGTCCTTTCCTTTCCCAGGAGGTGGCGCTTTCTGGTGCGGAGCTCCCAGGCACCATGGAATCCGTGGAAGAGGCGATAAAACGGCACCGGGATTTTCTCACCACGATGGAGCTGAACCAGCAAAAGATGCAGGTGGCGGTGCAGGCTGCCGAGGCCCTGCTGAGACAGGGCAACGCCTACGGGGAGCAGGCCCAGGAGGCTGTGGCCAGGCTGCTGGAGAAGTAAGTGCCCTGGCGCTCTGGGCACTGGGGTAGGTGTGGGTGGCCGGGAACCCCTCCTTCCATCATGATTTTCTGTTTCTCTGCACCTCTCTGATTTTTACTTAATTCCATATTATTTTCAGTTTTACTTAAATGGCTGTTTTGTGACAAGCCATCAGGAGATGGTACGCTGAAAGGATACCCAGGAAAGGAGGTGACAGGTTTCTCCCGCAAGCCTGCGCTTGGCAGAGGAGAGCTGGACCTGTGGTTCCAAGTGATCATGTTGCCCTTGGTGCCC